GAAGGAAGGAAGGAAGGAAGGAAGGAAGGAAGGAAGGAAGGAAGGAAGGAAGGAAGGACGGACAATGTGGGCTGAAAAACAATTTTTGCAGTCCTTCCTGGTCTCTGAAGAGGCCAGATGTGAGAGCTGGGAGAAGCAAACTTTGGTTGTTTAAGGGCTCCAAACAAAAGTTTTGGACTACCAATCTCATCAACTCTTGCCATGTTGGCCACGCTGGCTGGGGCTGAGGGGGACTCCAAGTCAGAACATCTGCAGGTATCTAATTGGCTTTCCCTGTTTTCAGCTCCCTTGCCAGCTCTGCACATCTTGGGTCCTCATCTCCCTAATGGCCATGCACAACAGGGCTGTCTCAGCTATGGAACTCTCTGCCTCATGATGATAATTTCCCTTTGGGTGAGCGGACGTGCTGCTGGTAACTGAAAACATTATTTTTTTTTTCCAACGAGCTTGCATCCTTCCATGATTTCACTGAACTTCTTAAGGTTTGGGTTTTTCCTTTGGACTGTCAGCTGGTGCTCCTTCTACGCAGGCTGGGTTGTTTTTGTGACATATGGTTATGATCTTTTGTTACCTTCCCATTGATTTATGTCACCCGTTAGCTGCTCTGACACTGCTTTTTGAAGGGAAGAACTGGCAGACAAGTTTTTATATAAATCACATCAATATTGGTAAGCAAACTCAGCCTTTAGTGACCTTTCTCCAAAGGAAAAACAAACCTGGGTAAATATTACGTCTTTAATACTGCTTACAACAGTGCACTGAGCACGGAATACAATTGGGTGCACAAACTCACTGCTTACGTTGAACACACCTTGTTGGATCACAGAGGGATTTTTTGAATCCCATCTTTCCTGCTCTAAAGTAATAGAATTCAGCAGTTCTGGAGATCTAGCTTGAACTAAGTTTAACAGGCAACAGATGATTCCCCCTTTCCTTGAATTCAGAATGCAGAGACTGCCTCCGCACAACATAGCCTGTTAGTCTACGGTGGCAAAAAATCAGGAGCCTGGCAACATTTTTTCCGATTCACAAAATCTTATATCTTTTAGTAACATTGTGAGTCGGAAAAGGTACCACCAGACTCCTGATGTCTAGCCTGGTTATTAAATCCAATTTCTGGGTTTAACAATCCACTGAATCAAAGTTTAACCCAAGTGGTTTGGTTTGCATGACTCTTTAACCTGCAAGAAAACTAAGCAAGATTCACTCCAGCCCAAGCTTTACCTGCAGCTGCAATGTTTGTAACTGACCTGGTTAAGCACATTGGGTGAAGAACAGAGAAGGAGAGAGCATTCCAAAATACATATTTTTAAAAATGTATTATTTTTTTCTACCCCAGAACAAGACAATGTACATTTTCAGCCTCCTCCCACAAAATGGTGCTTATTCTCAAGAAGAGCATTAGGAAAACAGAAGCATTTTTTAAAAAAAAAATTTACAAGCATGATTTAACTGAGTTTGAAATATGAAATTGCACAGATCTAAGAATATTTACTGTAATCTATCTTGGCAAACCATTTTTTAAAGAAAAGAGTTTGTTGTAAACTCCCAGGACTGTAGAAACAGTTGAATGGACAGAGAGAAGAGAATGCGTGACTGTGGATGAAGCGAGTTGCCTTTTGGCAAAGGGAACACAATTCATGCTTTAGGGAGACTCCAAAATGTGTAAACAGTAATACACAGCATAGTCAGGGCCAGAATGTCCTATTTTTTCTTAGATATGGGGCAGCTTTCCTGGGACCCACCTGCTTCCCAAGCCATGCTAAATCCACTTTAGGCCTCCCATTACCATTTCTATGAGTTTCACAATTCAAATGATGGGAATTTGATATTGATATTGAAGCATTGATATTCAACAATTATGCTCTGGAATATGGGATTCAGGAACCCATGCATCTCTAAGCCTTCAGCCTGCCAAACCTGGTTTAAAATTACCCATCTGCACTAATGTTAAAGCACATTCATAAACCATCATCCTTTTTTCCCTCTCTCATCATAAATTCTGTTGCGTTCCAGGCAAGTCAAGGTGACTTTCCCTTTCAGTGATTCCCACATCTGGTCAGTAATCTGGTCATCCTGGTTGCATTTCCTCCCCCAGCAGGACCCTCCACTGGGGATGATGATGCTGATCTCAGAAATACCCACCACAAGAGGCGTGTTTTAACATATTAGCAATGTAATCTGACTGTGGCATCTGCCTAATCCAGCTTGGCCACCCAGAGGGTGAACACAGAGAGTGAACGCAAGAATGGGCACCAATTACAGTTCTGAAAGAAAGACAGGACTTACTTCTCGGCTCCCGAGGTCCATCAACGGTCACTTTAATGGCCCGGTGGTAGGTAGCAACCTGAGTAGGGTTGGTGAAGACTGTGATGGTCAACGTAAAGCTTTTTCCTTTAAAAGAAATAACAAAGAGAGGAAATTAGGAAAAAAGAGGTTACATGAATTCAGAAACTGATAGGATCCTCTTTAGTATGTAGGAGTATTTTTTAAAGAACGATAACAGGAATGGGATAGACTGGCAAAATTTCTGTTTTGCATAGAGAAGATACCTGTCCAGGCTGCATCTCCAGGTAGGACATACTGAGTCCTTCTAGTTGATGACTTTGATTCTCAAGAGTTTCCAACTGTCATCTAGAAGGACACAATATCAGGCAGTGTCTTGTGTTCTTATAATCCTTACAATAAACCCAACATTTAACAATGCTATATAAATAGCTTTTTCAATTGGATTGTGGCATTTGCTAAACTTGTGTACACATCAACACTCACATAGCATTCTTAATTTGGTGTCGGGGAGTGTGCCTTTGAGTCAATCTTGACTCCTGGTGACCGCCTGGACAAGTCCCTGTAGTCTCCTTGGCAAGATTTCAGAAGTGGCTTGCCATTGCTTTCTTCTTCCTAGGGCTGAGAGAGGGTGGCTGGCCCAAGGTCACCCAGATGGCTTCGTGCCTAAGACGGGACTAGAACTCTGGGTCTCCTGGTTTCTAGCCTGGTGCCTTTAACCACAACACCAGACTGGCTCTCAGCATTCTTAACTAGCCAGATTGAATCTGGTGCTTTACTGTTCCAATGTATAATATATAAACTCCATGTTTCAATACATGATTAAGCTGTGGCCATCTCTCTCTGGCTCTTAACTATGTTCGTGTCCCATGTGCCAAGCTCTGAAAAGCTATTATTTTAACAGAGGAGAGTTAACATTTTCCCATTTGAACCATTCAATAAAAGAGCTGCTCTGAACCAATGAATACATCTCATTATCTTTTGATAAAACACTATTTTTAACATAATCAAGAAATAACTCCATGAAATGCAGGGACAACATGAGTTCTCTTATCCTTTCAATTTCAATCTTCTTCTTCATCATCATCATCATCATCATCATACAATCAACACTTCTCTCATATTTAGCAACATGAAATATATCTCTCCCTCAGGGGTTACCACTTCAGCATTTATCCTTCAGCCCCGAATGTAACTCTGTCTGTCTGTCTGTCTGTATGTCCACCTGCCTGTCTGTCCTTATAATTTGCTCCAACCCCAAAAGGCTTTGGGCACCGTTCAACAACAAATACAAGCAAAAACAACAAACACAAGCCACATCACAATAAATTCATCATCAAAAAAGAAAAACCACCTCAAGATAAGCGCCCATCACCAGTGTTTTTTCTATATGATGCCACTCAATTCCATCAAAGCGAACTTCATTAAAAAAATAACAAAACTCTGATTTGTGCAATAAATGTTTTCTAAAACCAGATTCAAACTCTATACAAACCCCAACTCAATTTTGTTCCCACTTCATTTGACAGGATATATCTTGGTGACTCTAAATTATTAATCAAATTATAAAACCAACCCACAGCTTTACTTTATTGATTTAGTCTATTGACCATATCAAGTATAAAGCATTCCTTTATACTTGATATGGTCAATAGACTAAATCAATAGAGTTGATTGATTGATTGATTGATTGATTGAACCAACCCACAGCTTTTCTTCCATATATGTTACACAATATTGTTTCAAATTTTGTGTGCTTCTTAGGTGAATCATGTTTCCTTAAAATATATATTAGCTGAGTGTTTAACTTTTCAATTATGGTATAAATTAGATTGGCATTATCTCTTATCTCCAACTAATTCTGTGCAGGGTTTTATTTTGCTTTATTTCAGCCAATCCCCTTTCTTCTAAACTTGACTTTCCAGTTCTTTATCACAGTATATGACAATTAGTGGAATTTGTTTTGGATCAAAGAAATCATAATATTTATTTCATCTTTTTCAAAATTAATGTTTAAGGATTTTATTTAATAAATGTGGGTTAATGCCGAAGAATGTTTTTATTATGCTGGAGGAGCCAGAGATTTTCCCAACTGAATAAAACATAAATACAAGTCATCACTCATAATCCTTCTCTTTATGTATGGAAAACTGAACCCTCCTCTTTGTGTAGAATTGTCTAAAGTTTAACTGCAAGTCTTCCTTTTTCTTCCACCCCACGAGAATGTAGTCATCACTTTTTGCTCATTAATTAGAATAATGGAGGAGGATACCTTAAAATAAATGAGTGGGACATTCATCTTTTCAATCACTATTTCCTCATCTAGGAAATGTTTTAATTGAAAGGGCATTCATGCCAAACCCATGCTCTACCACTGGGCCAGGGTGACCCCCCCCCCCATGTCTGACAGGGAGCTTGGCTAATTCCAGGTGCCTGACTCATCTTCTAAGATGGTTTTCATTTTTGTGGCTTTGTGGTTTTCAGGTATACACATAGGTCTTTCTTGAACATTCAACTTGCAATTGTGAGGAAAGTGCCCCAAAGTCATCAGGAAACCTTTTTTACCTTCAGAACAAGGAGAGCTCTGGTGAATCTGAAGGCAATGGAGTTCCTGCAACCCTGTCTTCAAACCACATAATCACAGCTTCCTTTGTTAAGTAGATACTCAACCACTGCCACTTGGAGGTGTAGTTATAGCATTGCCAGCATGTCTGGCAAAGTAGGGGTCATGGCCAAACAAGGGAAGTTGATAATGAGACTTGGTTAGTCTTCCCAGCATCTAAGATCTTTGATAAAACAGAGGTCACTTTTATCTTAGCAATCAGTAGCAGCAATAAGAAGTTGGCAGCACTTGTCTTCAAGAGCTACTATTTCTGATTAGGTCCATCTAAATTAAGTTTACCCAACATGGATTCAGACCTTGTTTGGAATGTTAGTTCACAGGGATATCAGACTATGCAGAAGGACTATCACAGGACAGTGCTGTATTTCAGTACAATATTGATCTGAAGTCTGTGTTTGCATTGAAGATAAACAACCGTGAGAAGGAAGATTAGGGATTTTGAAGGCACCCATCAGCCTGATCCAGTAAACAGTAAACTTGAAGGCCTCTTTGAATGGTTGTCCAGTCTACACCGAGAGCCTATGCATTCTGCTTTAGAAAAGAGACCATTCTGTAGGGAGTCTTTCTCCATTGAAAAGATGATTCCAAATCTGTAGGACGATAAGGAACTCTGACATGTCTCATCAGGTCATTAGAATAATCAGAAGAGTAGACTAAGCACCAAACCCTGAAGTCACTTGTTCATCTTATTTTTCAAATGGTGAGATGTGTTTAAATTACAAGTATTGTGTCTGTTTTTAGGGGATGTCCATGGGGGTGGAGATCAAAAAAGTGAAGATGATGGGTGCAACTGTAATCAAAGCTGCCATTTTGACATATTTTACCTTCTCTATGGAAGCTTTTTAGCACAAATCTGCAAAAAACAATTTCTTAGCAGGCTCTGAATGAGGGATTTAAAAATGAGGAAGCTGATGGGGGGGGAAATGGTGTCATTTTGGTTGTGTGGTCAAGAAACATACATCTTGGCTATCCCTGAACAAGCAGTGCAGTATTAATATGTTGCTTGGGTTGGATCTCATGCATTGCCATAGTTCTTCACGGTGGTGGGTTCTAGGATAAAAGGATCTTATAATGTAACTAGAATAAGAGAAGGCTTTAAACTCTGATCAAGAAACTGACTTCTGCATGTAGGGAGTTAATTGTGCAGAAGTATGGGTGCATTCAAATATGCAGCTCATATAGGTCCATTTCCAATCCAAAATGGTACCATCCAGAGGGGGAACCCCCCCCAATCATTACCAATTCTGCTAAAAAACTGTCCTATGTATGAAAATATTTTATTGAGTTTTATAGATGTTTGATCAAAAGCTTGCCTACAGAAGAAGACAAAGACTTCCACTCCCCACCCCATCCCACTTTTCTAAGCTTAATCCACGACTCCAAGTTGAAGAGAAAGGAACTGAAATCAAACTCTGTAGCGCTGCAAGGAGTCAAGACTACTGTAATTTCTCAGCCCAGACATGGAGACCTGAGTGGTGGTAACGGTGGGGCTCCTAATGAATTCAAGAGTCAAGTTTGGATTGAGCTATGTTCACGTTTGGAACTTTGTGTAAAGTGGACGGAAAAAAGGAAGGGGGGAGGGAGGAGACTTAAGCAAATAATTGAGTACAGAAATGAAAGCTTAATTCATAAAAGCAAAACATTTTCCATTCATCAACCTGAAAGCAGTTAAATCGGCGGGGGGGGGGAGTAGTTTGAAAGAAAAAAGCCTGCCTGCCATTTGGGAAAAGATCTAGCAGGAAAGCGGAAATGCACAGAAGAATGTAAACTATTTGGGTTTCACAGAGCGCAACAAGTAAACAGTTATTACATGCAAATCATTCCTAAGATCACTTGCCGAGAAGCCCCAAAAATCTTTTTGACAGTTCCTGCACGGGCATTCAACATTTGGAGGAAAAGGCTAGCGAGTAGCCATGAGATCTGGAGTGCCTGCCTCATTTTGCAGGAGTGCACGCTAAAGACGGTGGTTGGGTTTCAAGAAAGCTTGAATTAAAGTCACCCTAAGACCATTTTTTGATCTTGCCAATTATTGCCGTTTTATTCATCGATCTTTCTATAGAGCCTGCATGTCAGGGTTGACCGCAGGGTGTGGTCACAAGAGGTCAAGATAGTAGCTACACAAGTGCAGTTGAAGCTCCATCTTCAACCAAAAAAAAAAAAAAAAAGCAACAGGTGGAGTTTCAATCACACCATGGTGGCTACCATCTTGATCTTCTTTGACCATTCCCCATGGACCTCCCTGCTTAACCTGGAACGTAGTGTGCTCCCTTCCTTCTCAAACACAGTTATATAAATCTGGCACAGAATTCTTCCAAAAGGCTGAAGTTGAATGACAAAGCATGTGTTTTGCACGTAATGGTTCCTAGCATCTCCAGGGAAGACGGTTAAAGCCTTGGAGGGATCTTTCCAATCCGTGCAATGTCGGTCTTGGTATAAGGCTGCTTCCTACAAATGCACAGAGGTCTAACAATTGGTCCCAGATTGCTAAAGATTCAGGAGACTGTTATGTAAACTGTCAGCTGCAACTTCCCCATGATCCGTGAAGAAACCTTGCTGGATCATAGGAAGGCTGTTACAATGAAAAGTCTCCACCCCATAAGACATTTAATTCATTAATTCATTATGCTGACCATGTAGTAGGGTATCAGTTGGTTCTAAATGGGAAATAGTTCTGTTGCTGGAATACGTATAAAGCTTTCATCTCAGTAAATCTAGCTGAAGGGAACTCTGTAAGAATCATGCTTGGAAAAGAATCACTTTCATTTTCAGGCATCTATCAAAAGTCTAATAAAAGGCTGGGAATATTGGTGGTCTAATCCCAATACACCCTTCATGCCTTCATTCCATGCACACCTGCAGCATGAATCAGGTAGCCTTGACTGAAAAATAATGTTTTTAGCTCAAGAGCAATTCTTAGCCCAGTGTTTCTCAAACTTGGCAACTTTAAGATGTGTGGACTTCAACTCTCAGAATTCATCCCCCGGCCATGCTGGCTGGGTAGGGAATTCTGGGAGTTGAATTCCACACATCTTAAAGTTGCCAAGCTTGAGAAACCCTGACTTAGCCTTTGAGCTATGGGCCAAGGGCCATACACCAAACAGCAAGCAGAGGCCAGAAAATGAAAGAGGTAGAGCCAAGCCAAAATTAAACTAGATGAAATGTCATTTTAATCAAAATGAAAGCAATTAAACACAATGAAAGCGATTACTCCCTGTTTATTAAATAATTAAGCATTAAATGTTACAATTCAGCAGAAATATTTGAAGAAGCTCTAAAATGATCAACAAAGGATTGAGGGGGAGACATATGACTATGGGACTATTGTTTGTACAGTTTTAGTCTACAACTATTGATGTTTCCTTCCAGAACTTCATATGTACAAACACCTAGCCCAGAGCACCCTTTAAAACCTTATATCTCAACTTTACATTACCAAACATGCACATATACGCATACACACATACAAGTGGAGTTCTTGAACTTCTGCAAAACCCCCACCAAGTTGGAGGTACCTCCTTTCCAGCTAAATAGCGATCTGTCCCAGGAGAAGGAGAATGCTAGGGAACTAGATTAGAAGACCTACTCCCCATAAGTTTGTCCCATTCCCTTCTTAAACTTTTTAAAAATCCTTAGCTCACTTTCCATCTCCTTACCTCGGCCACTCCGTCCGACAAAGCGAAGGTCATTGAACCTGGCCACCTGATTCTTCATTACGGCCGAGGCATTCCGGAGCTCCGCCGAGTAGTTCTCATCATTACCAGCCATGACCGTTACCACGGTCCCATCAGGCACGTCCCCAAGGGCTACCACCTAGAATGAATAAAGGTGGCATTTAGAATTAATTAATTAATTAAAACTGTCCGTTAAACAACATGAATTGTAACCATTCAAGGGACATTTGGGACCCAGGGCTGAAACACTATTTAATATGGGCAAGGTGGGGGGGCACAGCCAATTCTCTTGGACGAGCCTTAGGTTGCAATCCTATAAATACACTTTAAGGCTGCAGTTCTAAACCTTGGCCTCCCCAACACCCAGATATATCAGCAATATAATTCCCAGCATTCCCTGCTCACATGGCCACAGGAGTAAGTCAACAGGATTTATTTCTGAGAAAATAAGCATCGCGTTAGATTGTTATTGGGGGACAGAAAGATTGAAGAACTTGATTTAGGGAACTTTGGGGATATGAACTGATTGAAATGTAATGTAAACTTGGAATGGAATTGTCCATTGGCATTGGCATTTGCTACCATGTTCTGTATAGCATAGGATATATTTTTATTCATTTATTTGATTTATTATTTATTACTGCATTTTTTTCTACGCTGCTCAGTTGCAAAAAAAAAACAAACCCTCATGCGGATTTTGAGAAAATATACATTTAGAAATGTCTTCTCTCCTCTCTTTCCCTTTTTCTTTCTTGAAAAGTCATTTAGATAAATCTTTTAAAAAAGCGTTTAAATGCATTTAAACATTCTCACAGTCAGAATCAGGACAGAAACAACAAAACGACAACATAACATTTATTAAATTTATATGCTGCCCGACTCCCAACAACTCTGGGCAGAATTATTTATGAATGAATGAAAACGTGTGAAAATGAAATGGGGCTGTGGTGAAACTGCATTATTCATCTCTAACTTGGGACAGAACCTTCATCTCAGAGGGAACTCTTCTGAATACAGCACACCCATAAGATTATTTTACAGTGGATGCTAAGCCTAGTCAGCCTTCGACATCAACAAAAAACCTTGTTTGCCCTGGCTTCTGGCTGAATTTCTGTGTCCTGAGTGTGTTTCTCTCATTGCTCTTGCATTCTTTTACATATAGTATTTATATGGTTCCAAATAGCTTTCCTTTGGGATTACTTTTAATGAAAAGCTGGGTAAAAAGTGTACTAAGTGAATAAAAGAAATAAAAAGAGCCACTCTGAATGAACCCTCTGGGACAGAAGAAAATGGTAATACACACCATCGTTATGTTATAGTATTTCCTAAGCTCTTGAAAAAGACAGCTATTATATGTATCAGCTTAAAATGCACACATACAGATACTTATCTGTGGAGTTAGATCTAGAGAAATCCACACGCATGCATATAATAAATATTAAGATATTGCACCTACATTCAGTAACCACTTCCATTATCGTCTGGCAGGTTGTAGGAATTTAAATCAAGGCAACTTAACTCAATATTTTAAATTAGCATTAAAAAAAACCAGTTTTAAACCACTGATTTAATGGCAATTCCTCATAACTACTTGTGCAAATGTGACTGCTAATGCAGGCTGATTTATGAAATAGAACAAGCAACATTTGAAGCGTTGCCTCATTCTTACAACTAAGCCATACATCTTTTTTGTTTTGTTTTAAATTTGTGCAGGTTTTCCTTCGGTCATCTTTTATTTACCTAGTACAGGAGTATCTTAAAATATTCCAACATAGCAGATTTCCCTTTGTAACTTCCCTATGTAACTGGCCTATAACTATCACTGTCTAAGAAACAAGTAATAAAAATAGTAGTTCAACACAATCGAGGGTCACCAGGTTGGAGAAGACAACAAGATAGTTATTGTTTTTTTAAAACTGATAACCATAAAAGTTAGAGCGATTAACTAAAAGATTCCAGGAACATTTTTATAAAGTTTAAAAGTTATTGGGTGGGATAAAGCTGTTTATTTTATCAGAAGAAAATGAGATGCTTAAATTGGCTTGCTGGAGCTGGAAACATATCTGAGGAATGATTCAATTGGTTCTTCAGAAAAGCTTCAATTAAAACCAGGCATCTTTTAGAAAACAAAGCCCCTGATGAGTTGGGTATTATAAGAGTTAAAGTAGAAGCAGAAATTCACTATAGAGATTAATTGTTGGTTAATTAATTGTTTAATTAAAAGTCCACAGCTTGTGGACTTTTAGAGAGAGTATATCAGATCCCGATAATTTTTTTAAAAAAATTATATACTCTGTCAGCCCAACAATTTTTCAAAAATAAGCAACATTGATAATGTCTTTACCAAGACAACACATCACATCTGGGAAAAAAGGTATCCAGTATCAACAGACGGAATCTCCCCTCTAGCCCCTCTAACTCTAAAGCATGCTGGCTGGGGAATTCTGGGAGTTGAAGTCCACACATCTTAAAGTTGCTGAGTTTGAAAACACTGTACTATGGGAATCAGGAGATCTCCTTTCCGCCTCTATCCATGAAGTCAATGGAAAGTGTTATATCAGTGGCCCCTAACCCCAGCAAGATTAGCAACTCTATCATACAATCATTCTTCAAGATGTTGGAGGGGCTGCAGACAAAAGGGATCATTTTACCCTGTGTTGTGATCATCTGATAACATAACATCATTTAGGTGGAAATTTTTTGGTAAAATTAGTATTGTTACAAAACAAACAGCTGAAGGCTCTCCCAAGCTGGGACTGTGATATTGATTGATACAATCTTATGCTACACCAAAAAATCAGGGTGCAATTGTTTTCTTGCTAATTATTGCTCAGTGTTGGAAATGTCTTGAAACTATATTAAAAAGTCAATGCATTACTTACTATTAATAGAGCTTTTTCAACCACTTGATTAAAAATAATTACTGATAAACCTAGGATAATGAATCTTCAGGGGCAAGAATCACAGTTTTGTCACGTCTGGACAGCTTATATTCATTAGGTTAATTGCAATAGACTTAATTTGGTCACCTCTCATGATGTATGGAAATTATGAACAACTTTTGTTTCTTTGTTTTTGTCTTTCTCTGTTCCTTACAGCCTTGTATATTCTTTGTTTAGTTCTTTTCTTTTTTCCTGTGGGTTACTATTCAATAAAAATATAATTGAAAAATTGTTGGGTTAACATCACTCTGACTCTTTAATTTTTTTTTCACTTATTCTTTGAACGTTAGCAGGGACTGTTTTATTCAAATCTAATTTAAATAAAAATACATTAAAATTTAATTAAAGTTTTATTTTTTAAAAAATCCATTTTTAACCCACCTTACTTGGGCTTGGATGAACCTGGGGGTTTGCTTTAGTTGCTGTTTTAAGTGAATAATTTGATATAATTTTCCCTATTATCAAGACCACAAAAGTACAGTCCCTACTGAAGCATCAAAGAAAATGGGAAGTAACTTGGTAGCGCCGTCTTTTGAAAAATGAGTTTTCAAAAGTGGGAAATGATTTTTAAAACCCATTCAATTCTGCCCAAGCAAGCAACAGCTTTAGAAAGCATGGGTGGGTGAATCACCCTACCTTTTGAGAGAGCAAAACCGTCGGTGTCATTGAAAGCCAAGCCCTCTTACATTTGGTATTACAACAAGGAAACAGGACAGCTGAACTCTTAATTCACAGGCCTGCCCTGTAAATGGGATCTTTTCAGAAACAAAAGGGGAATCTGAGATTACCCTTACTCGCAAATTTAGTGGGGAAATTAAGTGCCTCCTTTCAAGAATCTTGCAGGAGAAAAGCTGTGTTAATCTACGGGAGCCCCAGATCAAGAGCAATCTGGTAACACGTTTTATTAAAAGGCATCAGATTTTGTGATGCCTTTTCATTATCAGTGTAACAACTAAGGGGCCTGACCCAGACAAACAAGCGTTATCTCAGGATTAACTCCTTTTATGCGTGGTGTGGCACGCTCAGCTGAGCGCATTGGATCAAGGCCTAACTGTATAAACCTGCCCGGTCTACGGGAAATAAACTCTGTAGAGATCAGTAAGACTTGTTCTCAAGTAAGCGGCTGTAGGATTACAGCCTAAAAGTGTATAATTTGGCTCCATCACACCCAGTTCAACTTCACTTGTTAATTAGTTTAATGGGTAGATTAAGACCTTGCTGTACTAAATTATTATTTTTGTTTATGCAACACCCTCAGAGGCTCATAATCAGAAAAGGCTGTTTCCTGCCTCAGGAGCTTCCAGTCTTAAACGCTGATATTTCTGGCAGCACAGTTGGTTCACAACTGGGTTCACACAAACCAGCAAACCACACGACAGCTTTGTGAGCTGGGTGACCCCAACTGGAGAGAGGTTTAGATACCAAGCCATGGTTTATGTGAGGTCTGTTAATTAAGCCACAAATGCCTGAGTTCTGCAACACGCTCAGCCACAAAATAGCAGTTCATCCCATGGCTTTGTGAGATGGGTGACCAAAACCGTAAAGAAAGAGAAGCTGGGTTCACACTCTTACTAAACCACGATTGACTTGAGGTTAGTTGGGGGGAAAAAAGAAGAATTAGCTGGGTCCACGAAACACCCCAAGCCACAAATAGGCAACTTGGTCAAA